TAGCCTTTGGACAAGCATTTTAAAAGTAGATGCTCTATGGCCTTTTATCATCATCTTTATGTTTATGCTTCGGGCCTGCTTCGGGAGATCTTGAAGAAGAGATTCAATGAAGCCTGTCTCAAGCATAAAGTGTGGCGAGTACGTGATCACAACATCGCCTGGACGCACCTATGGTGTGCTCACTGCCGGCTCTGAGGCACGTGGCTTCTGTTCTGAGGAGCAGGAGAGACAAGTACAACCAGTTGCTTGGGTCCTTGGGTGCTTTTGATGTAATAATATATGGACACCATATGACGACATAATAGGAGCAACGACCTAAAGGGTCTGTGCACAAATCTGTATATGAGCCCAAAAGCAATACCTTCATAATGTACACTTCAATAATCTTCAATCATTTGATGTGATTTCGCTTTACATGAAGTGATACCAAAGGGATGTGGTCTAGATGAACGGATCCCCTTTCGTATCATGTTTGTATCATTTTCACAGTGCCTGTGGAGTCTGACACAGATGAAGAGCTCTAGAACAAGAACCGCAATGAAGGGGGAAGGACGGAAGGAAATGCTATTGTGTCAATGGAACACCCTCTCTATCTCTCTATCTCTCTATCTCTATCTCTATCTCTCTATATCTATCTATATATCTTTATTTATTTATTTTTCTTTCTCTCTCTCTGTCTTTCCTTCTTTTTGTGCACTTCCCCTTGGCCATGTTTTGAAGAGAGATCCTCAAGAAATATGACAAAGGCATCCGACACTGTAAAGCGATATAGCGAACCCCAAGAGCGATACCAACATATGGAATTTACCAATATTTATGATCGGTCTTGGGGATTGCTCATATAATACACTACAATATAGCATATATATGTTTCGGGTGCATGTTCAGATTGATTCTGACATACTATTGGGTGACAGACACAAGTACTCTGGGTGGCATATTTATATAGGTGCCACAAAACAACCGAGAGCTTGCAAGGCACCAACCTCTTTGATAGACAAAGCCACCTGTTCCTGGATGGCTTACATAGTCCTATCATACACTCCCCGAAACATGCCTCCCGCTGGATGAGGATGGTCTATTTTTTCTTTGTTAGGCTATCTGTGTTTGCAGCCAGAGACTACTTCATCGACAAGACAAAGAGTAAATGAGAAGTCTGCACCAGTACCATGTTCCTATGATGCCCAGTGGGGGGCAGAATCTGGTTCAGGAGACGACACCCAGCGTGGAAGAGCTTGAGGAAAAGATCACTTTGGCTCCTTGGTGTTGGACATCGAGGATGGCGCTTAGGAAGAACTGAGGTCAACGAAGTCAGTCAACGACCCATCAATTGGGGTCAACAGCAACAAACTGGGTATTGGCGCATGGGAAAAAAGACATGGAAAAACTAAGTGTAGCTTGGCGGAGATTCAAAACTGTTCAGGGTATTGGGCCACGGAAGCTTCCTCGAGCTCAAGGGTCAGACCAAGTTGAATGAATGGGTTCGTTTCATCAGAGGTCATCAGCATAAACCTCCCGCCAGATTGAAAAACCGCCGCGTGCGGTTGCGGCCAAACGCATCTAGCGCTCATTCACAAAAGTATATAGGCTTGGAAACGGAGCAGCGGCAGACTGGTTGTACAACAATTGATTTGAAGTACATAGACATAGGCGACTACGAGTTGAACCGAGGCACGGGGCTCGACTCTGGGTCTGTGGGCTAACTTTTGGTTCTCGAGGTTTCCTTGTCTCTGCCCGTCGCTTCGTTCTTCTCGCACCTCCCTGCTGTACCTTTTGCCGCTATCAGAGAATTCATGTGTGCCACAATTACTGCTCTCCCTTCAATCGACTTTGTGACTTGAAACATCTTGACACTGCAATTGCAGATGTTCACGTTTCTTGCCCCACACCCGCGTACATTTCTCGACATCACAATGTACCACCCTAATCCATTTCACGACCTTACAAATCGCCAAACTGCACTTGACTTCATGACATTTCATGACATTTCACCAGATCAGAACCAACACACACACAGAGCACATCACAGCAGCATAAGGCACCACAGACATCGCTGCATTCTGCATGGACATCCGAGATGTTTATTTGCGTTGAGGAAAGGGTGGTGCTCACTTGTTTGGGTGTTGGCGGATTCCAAATCAAACTTGGCTAACTGAGGCAAAGGAGCAGTTGCAAGAGCTGTCAGAGAAAATGAAAGCCAGCAAAGATGAAGCTCAGCTGGCAGAGAGAAAAGGGTGGAGGGGACTCTTAAATTCCAGTGATCGGTCTAGATTCTAGATGCCAGCTTTGGAGCCACATCTTTGTTGTTCGAGTCTTCCTTGGAACACGTCCTGGATACCACACCATGCCAGCCTGAGCCGTGGGATGGTAATCAAAGGCTGAACCTAAGAACAATCATGAACTATCGTTCTATCATCATAGATCATCATGGCAAGTTCAATGTTCTTTTCAATCAGCACGGTTGGCATATCGACATGTTTGGTATGTTTAAGGAGCAGTATAGCCAAAGGTTCCATGTGGGAGAGTGGACGACTTGGGCCGTAAGTTGGGCCATCCATCTGAATCCTGCAAATCTCCTTGTATCTCCTTGTCTTCGATGCCATGTCATATTATGTGGTGACACAGGAGGTCTTTAGACTTTAGATCGTGTTTCTTATTGGTGGCAGCAAAGCTTTGTCCGACCCCTGTCACCTGGATGATCCTGGATGACCATGGAAGACTTGGGTATCAGCATATATCAACCATGAAGAACATTTGACTCTTGTGCCCAATCTACTACGTACCAGTAAAATACAGTAAAATTGAACTCTTTTTCTACTCAGTATATATATATATAACTGCTACAGACACAACCCTGTTGGCTTCCACAACATGCTCATTGTAAATGACAGGGTGCCAGTGCCAGAGCCTCATTGAACTCAGGACTTGCAGCAAGCCAAGAGAAGGCACTGCAAACATCAGAATGCCACCTGTGCGGGCGAATCTAGCGACCTCTTGACCTGTCGTTTGGTCTTGCAGTTTGGGTCAACAATGCGAGGATGTGTGCAAAAAGGATTCGGGGTCCCTTCCTGGTGTCGGGTGAGGTCTGGGAATAACTACACCATGGAAAACTACTGTATGCAATCAAAGACAGTTTTTTTGACTACGGTCAAAAAGCTGCCAACACGATTTGGAGGGTTGCGCCAGATGCCATGTTGATGTGATCCGAGGTAAACAACAACAAAGCAGGCACCCGATATCCAACTTACACTCAGCCCTGTTGATGATGAGTGGTGTAAGATGAGTGATGTGTGGTGAGTGGTGTGTGATGAGTGGTGTAAGATGAGTGGTGTGTGATGAGTGGTGTAAGATGAGTGATGTGTGGTGAGTGGTGTGTGATGAGTGGTGTAAGATGAGTGATGTGTGGTGAGTGGTGTGTGATGAGTGGTGTGTGATGAGTGGTGTAAGATGAGTTGTGTGTGATGAGTGGTGTGTGATCAGTGGTGTAAGATGAGTGGTGTGTGATGAGTGGTGTGTGATGAGTGGTGTGTGATGAGTGGTGTACGATGAGTGGTGTGTGATGAGTGGTGTAAGATGAGTGATGAGTGGTGTGAGGTGCATGGTGTACTGCGCCTGCCACGAAGTCTTCCTCCTGAAGCCTCTGTGTACTATGCCTGCCACGAAATCTGCACTCCAGGTTCACCAAGTGCTGTGCCTGCCACACAAAAGGCAGCCGCGGCCCAGCGGCGACCACGCGCGCAGCCTGCCACGAAATCTGCCTTCCAGGTTCACCACGTGCTGTGCCTGCGCCACAAACGGCAACCGCGGCCCAGCGGCGACCACGCGCGCCGTAGCTACGTAGTGCGGGTGCACACAGTCCAGTGCTGTGCCTGCCACCAGGTTCACCAAGTCCTGTGCCTGGTGTAAGATGGGTGGTGTGAGATAGGTAGTGTAAGATGAGTGGTGTCAGAGAGGTGGTGTGAGATGGGTGGTGTAAGATGGGTGGTGTAAGATGGTGGTGTAAGATGAGTAGTGTGAGATGGGTGGTGTATGATGGGTGGTGTAAGATAGGTGGTGTAAGATGACAGCGGTGTAAGATGAGTGGTGTGAGATGAGTGGTGTACGATGAGTGGTCTAAGATGGTGGTGTGAGATGTGGTGTAAGATGGTGGTGTGAGATGAATAGTGTGATATGGGCGGTGTAAGATGAGTGGTGTAAGATGGTGGTGTAAGATGAGTGGTGTTTTAGAGGTGGTGTGAGGTGGGTGGTGTCAGATGGGTGGTGTAAGATGGTGGTGTAAGATGAGTAGTGACAGATAGGTGGTGTAATATGAGTGGTGTAAGATGAGTGGTGTGAGATGAGTGGTGTAAGATGAGTGGTGTGAGATGAGTGGCGTACGATGGGTGGTGTAAGACGGTGGTGTAAGATGAGTGGTGCAAGATGGTGGTGTGAGATGAGTTTTGTGATATGGGTGGTGTAAAATGAGTGGTGTCAGAGAGGTGGAGTGGTGTAAGATGGTGGTGTAAGATAGGTGGTGTAACATGAGTGGTGTAAGATGAGTGGTGTGAGATGAGTGGTGTAAGAGGGGAGGCGGCGGAGGCGGCGGAGGCGGAGGCGGCGGCGGCGGACGCGGAGCGGCGGGTGCAAAGCTAAAAAACAGAACCCCACATAGTGATGTGGGGAAAACTAACCTGGCACCGGCGGAGGCCAAACATGAATCTCGTCTCACGTTCCACGTTAACATACATTGCTCTTCAACGGGGTGGCCAACGGGTGGTCGAAGGTTCAAGTACTACTGGTGGTCAGCGTCATCCAGGTATAATATGTGCATGCCATGTCCAGACACACAGAAATAGTAAGTGCACAAAAACGTGTCAGCTGTTTGTTTGGATCTTGGTGTACTTTCTCAGCTTCGCCGGGCACAGAATTTAAAGCTGGCTCAAAATAGTTTCTGCCGAGAGAGGTTTGCCAGGAGATGGGGAAGTTGAGTTGGCCAGTGAAGGAGCACTGCTGAGACAAAGATGAGACAGAGGTGGAGTGGAGTTTCCAGAAACTGTCGCTTTCAGAGGCCAAGTCGGACAAATCCGAACAGCTGGGATTAGGGCTGGGAAACCAGGACAGGGGCCCAGGGGGAGGTGGGATGTGTAGACTTGGTAGATACGGGGGTAGAAGGTGTGGGGAAGTATATAATTATTCCGGTGCATATGACTTGTGAATGTGCCTTGGAATATTTACTACCGAAGGGAGGGAGGGTTCGGAAAATTGCCAGGAAGTGGGGAGGAGCACAGCTGGGGCAAATAGAGTTCCAGAGGTGGAGTTTCTGAGGCGCAGAGAATTTCACAATTGGAGAGTTTCCAGATACCAATGCAGTCCAGCAGCCAAAGTTGAACAGCTAGAATTGAAGGCGGGAGGTGTAGACCTGGCAGGTTGGAGCGTAGAAGGTATGGAAATATAACAATATCATATATCCGTGCACTTGACCTGAGAATGTACTCTGGGAATCCTAGAGCTTTGAACATGAACAGGAGAAAAAGGCTGCCTTGAGTTTTAGCATGTGATTTTCAGTGTTCATTTTTCACACTGTTTTGTTCAAAAAAAACAGAAACACTTGTTCAATTGTGTGACATCGAAATTCCAGGGATCCAGGGAGGGTTGACATAGATGGGGACCAAGTTGGTCTATGATCAGCGTACCCCGCATCAAAAGTGTGTTATGTGTGTATATATATGTATATATGTGTGTTTGTGTGTTTTTTTTTGAAGTTTTCTAACATCTTCCAAACAATGGGGTCTTTGGGAATCTCCCGTGTTGAGATGTCGAAGGACGGGTTATGAAAGGGCTAAGCATACGATAGGTATCCTCCATAAGGATGCCTCCAATGGATTGAGGCCGAAGAGACCCTCCGGCTCGCGGCCACACCGAAGAGCCGAGTTCAACCAGGCACGCCCAAGACCTTGAGAACGAGGCAAAGTACGGCTACACCAAGTTCGTGGGAGCACCCAGAAGGATGCGTCGATCAATAGAGTTCGTAGGAGAAAGATGGAAGACCACCTGCGATTTGATACTAAAGTGTTTAATATAGATAGGTCAAGACCTTTTTACTTGGGTATTCCAGGAGATCGTTCATGAACTGTGGATGGCTTTGTTGCATGTCCATGAACTTAGCGCTTTGTCGGCGGCTTAGCCATCTCCACTGGGTGGAGTTTGGCGACGGCCCGCAAAATTGAGGGGAGACATTGCAACGGTTTGCCTTCATTTGTCATTAGGCAGCTGACATGGGCCCAAGCGCATGAGAGGGTCACCTGGCACCCGGGATCACAAGAGCTGTCATGCGCTGCCATCAGTCTCTTTCTTTCAGGTGCATCCTTGCGGAAGAACGAACGTTTTTTGGTCAAAAGGTCGTAAGGATCTGAATACGGTCCGCCGATAACAAGAAAATTGATAGGTTCCAACCAGGAAAAGCGTGTTTTTGTTTCAGAACAAATCGACAGCAACAAAACTACGATTCCTTTCTTTTTAGAAACACAGCATGTTCGCCAAGCTTTTTTGTGTTTTTCGAGTGCTAAGGCGCTGAGCTTGCTTCATGTCGCCGACAACTTGGAAAGGGCCATCGATAGCGTGAAGATCGACCAGCTGGACGAGAGTGAGGAGGGCAGGGCCCAGGTCCTTCTGGTTGCCATTTGTCTCAAGAAACATCTGGCCAACACCGCTGTTTGGAGCGAAGATCGACCCTTTTGCTGTGATGTGTCACTGTGCGAAGTGAGACTAGCCTGGCTTCAAGATCGTAAGACAGCGATCCATTCTTCTTGATTGTTTGGGGTGGGTTGTCCATTGATTGTGGTGCCATAACCAAAGGACCAGCACTCAACCAATTACTGTATTTGGTTAAGCTCAATCATGAGCCAGCCTGGAAATAATAAGCTGCACATTTCACCCTCATCAACCACTCTCTCTCTCTCTTATATATTTGTTTGTATATAATTGAGTAGTTTCTCGTACTGTATTCTGCCATGACTTAGGGACCTACCCTTCAGCCAAGACCCAACCCAAGCTAGGTCTTGGCCCTAGTGGGTTACTGGCCGCCATGCCAGGAGTTGCAACATGAGGTGGCTGGCGTCGGGACCCGCAAAAAGGGCTCCTGCTGGTGATAAGGGAAACTCTGTGACAAGTATGTTTGTTGTATTCCATTTACCTTCAACCCCGCAACTGGTGATACTTGAAGTAAAAGAACTGCAAACGCCTGACTCAAAGTGGTTAATTCACAGCACTCGGAATCACGAGAAAAGGTGGGCAGTTGCGACACCCTTGAGTGGATTACAGGTCACACGCATCCACATGCTGATCATCAGCAATTCTCATCACTTATCAAAATTAAGGATCATGAATCATGGATCTATGATCTATGCCAATTCTCTTTTCAACATGGGTGGTCAAAGCGATCTTGAACCACCGACCTTGCATCTCCGATGCTCGGCCCAACACCTCGGCTTGAGGTGCAAGAGATTCGGCACGTGGTGGAAGAAGCCTTCCGGGAATTTGGTGTCACCAAGATGAAGGCGGGAGGAAGTTTGGAAGCCTTCCATATGCCTCGAGTTGATGGGCTCGGACTTTGGAGACTTTGGACCGAGTTTTGCCAGGCGTTCCAGGGCATTCCAAGTTCAGGTGCTGTTCTGAAACAAAACCACTGCAAACGACATCAGATTCAACCACAGTTTGGTAGGCCAAAGATGACCAAAGTACGGTACCCAATAGGTCCCAAAAGAATTTTGACCGTCTGTCGCCGCCCGTCTGTTTTTCGATGAGGCACTGGACCATGCCTTCAACCCCGAGCATCACGAGGCGATGTTCGCCATGGAGATGCCGGGCAAGGCTGATGGATGTACCGAGGGGCGTACTGAGGCTTTTGTCGCTTTTGTTTTATTTACCAGTTTGCGGGTTTTGACGTGGAACTTTTTAGGTGTTCACGAAATAGCAACCGCTACCCACTGGACGCAGTTAGTCGGCGCTCTTGTCGATACTGGTAGAAAGATGAAACACGCGGGTCATTCCGAATCTGGACCGACTGCATCCTTGGTTTGAATGTGGCCGCACCTCATGAAAGCGTAGCGATGCACTTGTTACTAGTAGCTTCTTGTTGTATAATAGTAATGCCCTTGTTCCTGCTTGCACTCCAGGAGCCCAACATGATTTTCCATGTGATGGAGCCCGGCATCCCAAGACTGCAAGAGTGACATGTTGGGTGGGCAGGCTTCGGGTCCTGGATTTTGCCCAGACTCTGCACAGAGGGAGCCAAGTGAGGATAAAACACCCTCAGCCATGAGATGCCATGAGCGTTCCATCATGGGCAATTAGCAACTGAGGAGTTGCGGCATGAAACAGGGACTCAGATGACTCAGAGCCATTACTGGACAAAAGGTAGGTTCCTTTACTAGAGCGCCATGCTGCTCAAGGGAGACATCCAGAAAATTCCAGAAGCATGGATGAGTCAGTAATCACTGGTCCACCAAATTCAGATCTACTGCAGCGATTGCATGAAGATCGCCATCCATGGCCAAAGATCTCAAGCTCCTTCTTCCTTCCTGGAAACCTCAACGCTGTGGTGCCTCTCATCACCTCATCCAGCATACTCTGCGTCCCCCCAGGCCGGGCTACATGATCCACGACCGCACCTTGCGTGCGGCCAAGGTGGGCGTCACCAAGTGTCCGGAGGCCCAGGGTAGAGTGATGCGTTGGGCCAAGGATTTAGCTGGCATGCCAGACACACCATGACTCTTTAAATCCTGTTAGTTGGTGCCTTGGCCCAACGGTGTTGTTTGGTTTGGTGCCATTGCTATGGAGGTTTGGACGAATCAGTGAGGCTCTCAGGTCCGTATGTATGTGAGTGAAGGAGGGCATTAAAGTGGGTGGAATCCCTTCCTCACTTGTTTCGGAAATCCATGGTCAATCCACATACGCAGATCCAGCAGATCAAGGATCTGCTCCCAAGGATTTGATCCTCGAGGATGAGCAGGTGCAAGGCACCAGGCTTCTTGAGATTCAAATCTGCCAAACAGAAAGAAGTGCTGTGGAGGGCCTGGCGGGGTGAGGGGCCGGTCCTGAGTGGATATGGGTAAACTGAGTCCTTAGAGGGACGGTGTTGAGGCAAAGAGCAGTCGCAGTATCCTGTTGACCACTTGTCCAGGAGGTCGCTTTCCTTAGCACTTAGCCCTTTGTTTCAAAAACCAATGAGTTTCACATAATACAGGCGGTTTGATTCCATGTGGATCTTCAAACCTTTGGGATGAAGCACATCCCAAGCACCTTTGCAGATCCATCCACCTGACTCCATTGCAAGATCCGAGCGCTGGCTCGAGTCAGCTCGAGCGCCGGACACGGCGCGTGTGCAGAAGCCATCATGGCCTGAGCCCGAGATTTTGAAGACGGTTGCCGTAAGAAGCAGATGGAAGCAGATCTATTACCCTCCTTTCATCTCCAACAAACATGGAACATCAGGGATCTGAATGACACGGTTTGTGGGAAGACTCATCTACTCAGCCAAGTTGGAAGTATCCAACAATCATGATACAAACATGCCGCAAGTTGTACAAGTATGGCACGTTATACAAACATTTTGTCCCCAGAAACATCGATCAGAATTCCAAGTCTAGCTCGGTATATTTGACCCGTCAATAATTGGAGGAAAAGACATTTCAAAAGGATTCTAGGGTCATAGGTGACATGCCATCCTGTTCCATGCAAGCTTCTAGCCTGGCCCTCTATGCACTCACATCCTGATCTAAGGAAAATCCAAGTGCAGGTTACTGCTCTTTGTTTCTAGTGAGTCTGATGGTCAAGAAGAGAGAGACAGAGAGAGGGGTTTGTAGTTCTGAAGGTGAATGTTGTTGAGGTAGCTCTTTTTATTCCGCCAGGATTTGGTATCGGGGGTATGCAGGTGTGTTGCACCCCGTAGGTATATGGGCCCATCTATGCGCCCGTAGCAACATTTTTTCCCGTTTCCCCGGTGTATAACTATTATGATATGATATGAGAGAAGAGTATCGCCATGTTCATGCGTCCCTTGAAGACCTACAGACCTCCAGTCCCGGACCCAAGAATCTCCTGCAAATCCCTCCCGTTAGAGCATGGGTTTGCGAAGTTCTTTCACCAAGGTGAAGACCACCTCATTGACGAAATCAGAGTTGGTGGATGTCTTGGCAAGTGCCAAGACCAGCAAGGACACGTGTGGGAGTGTGGGACTCATAGGCCCATTCTCAGACCGGCAAGTGCGGGGCAATCGTTTTAAAGACAAGTTGAGGCTACACTTCCCGCAACAACAAACTGTTCACGCCAGCCTCTGAAAAGGATTGACCCCTGACTCACCCCACAAGCCCTTGACAAAACCATTTGTGCACATCTTTAAGAATCTTTGCACCGAGGGGTGCCACTCTGTCTGTAGACCACCGACTAAGAAGAATTGGATCCACCACTCACCATTATCATTACATTACGTACATTTACGTACCGTATCATGAATTCCATCATAATTCCATCAAGAAAGAAGTAGTATATATCTTCATAGAAAATCACCAGCTGCAGCTGCAGCATTTGTGGCTCATCATCACCGACGGTTTCAGGAGAGAAATCGCGCGGTGAAATTGCTGAAACAGTTTGACCCAGTGCCACACTACGAGTTCGATGATGAGGGCCTCAAGGCAAAGATGAGGCGAGGCAAACGCAGACAATATACCTACACCATGTCACACATGCGGAAATGTCCTGCAGCTATTGGCATACTATACATAATATTTAAATAACAATTAGCATATTTGATTTCCACGCTTCGCTGACTTCCCACAAGTCCAGAACTTGTCGCTGAGTTTGAGCTCTAATGGACAGGCAAACCCTTACTTGCATCACAATCTTATTCACCAGCAGCAGCCAAAACTGCGCACGTAGCACGGCCTTAAAGGGTTGAATGTGAGATGGTTTGCAATTATTAAACAACCAACAGCGAAAGCACAGAGAAATGGCAGCAATGAATGCTACTTAGAGGTAATATATGATATGTCCAGTCACCGCGAAGGGCAAAGGCCACGAAAGTGCAGTGAAGGGCAATAGCGAAAGATTGATCCAGCTTAGACACATCTCACTGGGGTTTGTCAACCGCCCTCTATTGGAATTTCTGAAATTGGTGAACCATGGTGAGTGTGCACTGCATTTGTTCTCCTTGTAGCCAGGGTGAACAACAGGCTTGGAACAGCAACAAAGCATAAGTTGGTGCGCTTGGAATTGCAACTGTAGCTACCAAGTGCTTTTGTTCTTCCCCACAACACAGTAGAGTATTTCACAGCACTAGGGTAATCGGACTGTCCATTTGGGTTTTCCTTCACCACGCGGTGTTTCGTGCTTTACTGTAACTTGCTCAAGCTCATTGCGCTGCTAAACACTCCACAGCCGAAAAATGTCTCTGTTCACCCGGTCACCTGTGCACCGTGAGGCCCAAGAAGTATGCCGCGCTGGGCATGTCTTGCGGAAGACTTGGTGCAGAGTGTTTGCTTCTTTGTCGTGGTAGTTTCAGAGGGTAGACAATTCGTCCTTCCTAGAGGCTGTGGACTCAGTGACACCAGTACCCAGTGTGTTTTTGCTGTGTGGAGGGTAGGCAGGCCAGCACCTGGTATTTTACCACAGCGTTTGCACTTTGCTGCACAACTGGAGTTGGAAGGATTGGTTCATGACATAGCAACCGCGTCACTGCGAATCATCCTTGGAAATAATCCTACATTGGTATCTGGTGTATTGGAGCTGGTTCAGTTGGCTCGGTCAACACAGATTCAGACAAGGTCATGATAGAGACCTGCATACGTATCTCAACATGTTTCATTGTATGTAGGAAGTCTTTGGCTTTCCTCCCCATTAAGACCCACCCCATGTCCATGTTGATGCTTTTTTGCTCCTAATGTTCGGCCAGGACTACCTGCTTGGATACATGTGTTTCAGATGCGACAAGGTCAAACAATCCAACTTCAAGGTGCGGTAGTGGGTCAGTTGGACTTGGGTCTGTTGGAGTCCCTGTTTTGGCCAAGTGTGCCTGACGAATGAGCTGCAATCGGGGAATCCAAAATCCCACCCAAAAAAGAACGTCCACTCGACATCGAGCCGCTGTATAATAACCATATATGTACTGTATATATATATATATGCATATGCACAAGGGAATGAACATGTGCATTATGGATGGCAGTGTTGTTTCTTTCTGCCAAGGAATAGTAACTCGCGTTTGCACACCCCAACAACTGACAAACATCCCGGCCTGAAAACACTTGACAAAGGAGACCCAGACCAAAACAGAACAATGATTGATGATCCACAGCATTTTGTATTGTTCACCAGCACCTTTTCTGCAGCCAACCCACTTCACTTTTTGCGCCCCTTCGAAGGATGTAATCAAGCAGCATGAGAGTTCATGCATGCCTGGGATTTTGGCACTGATGCCTCACTCGGTCTTGCACTCCTTGGTGAAAACATTTGAAACATGCCCCGTGCCAACCATGCACCCAAAGGTAATTTGGAGCACTTCTCGGGGAAACAAGATCATTTGCCGGGGCGCTCAGGAGTGATGGGAAGTTCACGGAAGTTCTGCTTGCGTAAAATTTGCGTGATGCATCCATGCCATTCTTATGAAACACATAGAACTTTGGAGATGTACAACTGGCTGGAAGAATTGAAAGCAGCAGGAACACCCAAGTTGCTGAGGCAGAAGCACAACACAAAACACGAGCATCAGCAGTTGGACCACATTACGAATAATGGCTGCCTGCGACTTCGCACTATATTCTGTCGATCTTCATCCAGGACTACAAAATACATCTTGCCAATGAACGCTTAGACATACGGAGAAGCTTCAGGCCATCTATATAAATGATTCGTCTGGGACCCTGAACTGTGACACCGTGCCCCGAGCACTGGATGTTCACCTTTACCTTGTCTGACACCATTAGTAGGGAAACCAGACACGGCCACAAGCAAATTTAGTGTCCCATGTAATAGCTTGAAGCTGTAAAACATTGTCAGAGTACACCGCTTTCATCATTGTTCATCATTTGAGGCCATCCCTGCTATGCACAGCTGGCGGAACGTGAAGAAGTGGCCGTGATGCGTACCGCCAACCAGAAGGCGGCAAATGAACTGTTTTGATATCAGATATGTATTTTTGTCGATATATTGCGATACATTGCGTTTGCATCGTTCACACTTACTAGAACCCTTTGCAAGTAGCCGCTTGCTACACAATCGCGGTCCATAAACAAACTCCAGCAGGCTTGGGATGCACTTCATGGGAGACGGGTGTGTAAACCTTTGGCACGATGTTGGCAGCATTTGCTTTACCACAGTAGTCAAAGGTAGTCAAGTTTTGGCCAGATGTAGAGAAGACAGAAGACATCTCCAAGCTTCGAACAGCTCACGTAATAACTTATAGAATAAGTTATAGTCTCGACAAAAACCTCACACCTTTTCTTCTTGGACAAAAAATGCCTGTGCGCGGTGGTCTCACCGTCAGACTCCCCCTTTCGCGGAAGCGAAACTGCGTGGAGAGCTTCTTGGCAAAATGCCGTGGCTCAAGGCAGGGTATTGTGGCACTTTGCCCGAAAATACTCTGCACGCATTTTGTCCTTTGTCCATCCTCGGCCAGCGTTTTCCTGCTGAAACCGATTCCATGGATTCATGGGCACTCCACTGTGCCTCGAAGGTGACTGTTTTGTCACAGGGCCTGTCAAGGCCTGGTGCAAGAGCATCGAAGCTCGCTCAGCGCTCACGGCTGCACGCCCAGCTGCTGCCGCGGCCATCTCAGCGCTCATCGCCGCCCTTTCCGCTCCACCAGCCGCACAGTTCACTGCATCGGTCACTGTCGCGCTGGCTTGCGACTCCTTGGATCGCGACAAAGACCTGCTTGCCGAGCCCGACTGTCGCCTTGATGTCAATGGCGTAGAGCTCGGCCTGGAAATAGAGCCTTCCGCGCTTCGCGCCCTTGATCCCCTTTTTCTCAAGCGCAACTCAGCTTCAGGAGGTGTTCCTGACTCGTCCAAACCTTCGGTCGAAGGAGAGCTTTCATCCATGACCGCTGAACTTTGGTTCTTCGATCTCCTTCTCTGTGGCCGGGTCGGAGTGGCATCCGTCTCATCCCCTTCGCTATGGCTCTGCGAACCAGCCGGCTCGATGATCACCTTCTGCAATCGCCGCAAGCAGCAGCATGCCGAAGCACATACAGCTTTGCAAACCCAGATTGCCCCTATGGCGATCAAAATCAAACCACAGATCCACAAGGCCCCGATGGTTGAGTCCTTCTCCACATCCCCTTGCGCCTCCGCGACATGCGCGAGCACGCTACCCGCTGCTAAGGCTCGAAGTGCCCCCATTTGATCTGGTACTTGAGGATGTCGCCGATCAGCCCCATTTTGATCTTGTAGTTGAGGAGGTCGACGTTCCGCCCCAAGCACCCTCACACTAGTTTCCTCCACCCTCAGGCCCAAATCACACAGAAAATTCCGAAAACTTTGACCCAGGAGCGGCTTTGTGAGTCCATCAGCCACCAGCTCAGTGCCACGAAGGTGCATCAACTTCCACGCTCCTCCAGGGTACGAGCTGCAATTCTCGAGGGCCTCCCGGAGCAAATTAGACCTCACCCTCAAATGCCTCGTCCTCCAGGAAGCTGCACTGTTACCATGGGCCAGAGCAATTGCAGCGGCATTGTCACCGTAGATGACCCGGTCAAAGGTGCTGTTGTTCACCAGCTCCTCCCCCCACATAGTACATAGCAGCGCTTCAGTTGCACGACCAGCTGTCAGGGCCTCACAGTATGACACTAATTCAGCTTCAGCTGTACTGTGAGTCACGAAGGGCTGCGAAGAGCTCTGCCAGGCAATGGGTGCTCCAGCGAAGTAGATAGCCAAGCCCTGAGTACTTCGGTGCCCTGACCCAGTGCCGTAGGCAATGTCAGCACGAGTTTCCCATGTCGGGGAATCTTGAGTTGGCCACGAGCCCCCCCAAACCTGATGCACCTGTCCGGCGTAGTGAAGATCGCCAGGGGTGCCCTTCACATAGGCCAGCAACTTGTGGGCCACTTCAATCGCCTTCTTGGGATTCCTGGTCATCATGCGGCTGACTACCGCCACTCCCAGCGCCAGGTCCGGTCTTGACCTTGTCGAAAGCCATAGGAGAGATCCTGCTAGGGCCTGTGCTTCACGGACCTGTCTGATGTCCGTCTCTTCTTGAGCCTCGAAGTCCTCCTCCGCAATCTTGAAGTTGGGGAAGGTTGAACTCTCCTTCACCTTCCATCGAGTCAGGATCTCCTGCTCATACTTTTGCTGAGACAGATGAAGGCCATCTCCTTTTTCATCCAACTTGATCTCAAAGCCACAAAAATGGACCGGGCTTTGTGATGATGCCCACTCCACACTTGATGTGGTCCATATCGCCTGCAATGAGGTCAAGGCCGATGATACAGCATGTTCCTCACCGGTAAGCAGGATGTCGTCTACGTAGACTGACATGAGACCAGTCCAGTAGCTCTCACCGGACACCACATCCTCCTCCTCCAAGCGCCATAGGTTCTCATCGGCGGTCTTGAGAAAGTGGCCACGGACCTTTCTGTCCTCCCTCATTCGAACCCAGCTCACCGATGGCAGAGTCTTGTCCCGATATTGAGACCAATCCCGTGGCGACGTGGTCAAACCGTACATCGCCAATTTGACCAGCCAAACTTCACCTTCACGGGCAAGACCAAGGCGTTTGTACACCTGCGGAATTTCCATGGCGA